AGATTCCTGAGCAAGAGATTTATTAAGGCCCAGGAGAAGCAGGTAAAAGAGCTGGGGGAAACGGAATTTTAGGGGACTCTTGGCTTGATACCCTGGGAAGCTATAAACCACTATCTCCGAACATGCCTTCTTTGTGGCTTCCCCAGACCAGCCTCTGCTAGGTACTCTCTTGGGTGGACTGAACAAGAGGAGATTCGACATCTCTGAGGTTAAATCTGACGCACTGGAAAATTCAAAGCAGAGTGAGCCCGGAGCCCTGGACCCTTTGCCTGGCAGGTGCGGGGCTAGTCCTCTCCTGGGTGCGGGCGCCGACTGATGATGGTCCCACGGCCCAGAGCCCAAGCGAAAAGCTGCGGGCCCTTGCTCTCCGGGCGAACTGCTGATTAGACCAAAACTGGATGGAATCTTTCCACAACCCTTCAGACTCTTCACATTTCAACTATCAGAAGAGGTAACTAAATTTGTAATTGAAGTCATGTTGTGGGTTTTTCTAAACACCGTTCTTATTTAGGGAACAGATTTCGTTCTAATTTGTCAAATACCATTGCGAATGCTGCCTGGGGGCAGACCACTGAAGTGGACCTTTGTTTTTCTGAGACCCGCTCACATCGCAGGGCAAAAACCCTGAGCTCTCTTTTCTTTCTCTCTGTTCTCCTTCCTTCCCTCCTTACTTTCATTTATTTCTTCCTTCTTTCCTTTCTTTTCTGCTTCCTCCTTCTTTCCTGTCTTTCCTCCGTTTTCTTCATTTTTCTTTGTAGTAGTAGGAGCTAAGAACTCACAGCCCAGGGCATGTGAGGTAAGTGCGCTGGCCACTGACCTTTGCCTTTAACTTCCATCTTTTTTCTATTCGTTTGAGACCTTTCTGCATTGATCGGGCTGGCTTCAACTTCCTGGACTCAAATAATATTCAGCCTCTGGAGTACCTGAGACTACAGAAGGCTCAGCACCACTCTGCTTTTCTGCTTTTAAAAAGCTTATTGTAGGGGGTGCTGGAGAGATGGCTCAGTGGTTAAGAACACCTACTGTTCTTGCAGAAGATCCGGGTTCGTATCCCAGCATCCATATGGCAGTTAACAACTGCCCGTAACTTCAGTTCCAGGAGATACAACAGCCTCTTGGACATTGCATGACACGGGTGCACTTACCTACATGCAGGCATAATACTCATACACATAAAAAAAAAAAAATAAAAAGTTTATTCTAGGGACTGAAGAGCAATGGCTCAGTGGTTAAGAGCACTGGCTGCTCTTCCAGAACACCTGGGTTGGGTTCCCAGGACATGGTGGCTAATACCCATCTGTAACTCCGGTTCCAGGGGATCAACACCCTCTTTTAACCTCCCTGAGCATTGCATGTATGTGGTGCACTTACATACATGCAGGCAAAGCATTCGTACATATAAAATAAAAATAGATTGAATTTTTATTCTTTGAAAATTTCATACGTGGATACAGTGCATCTTGATAACCTCACTCCCTCCAACTAACTCACCTCCCAACACACCTTCCTCCCAGCTTCATGTCCACATTTTTTTATAACCCACTGAATCTAATTACTGCTGCCCATATGTGCATGAGATGAGTGTGGAGTCATCCACTGGAACATGGACAACCTACCAGTGGCTACCGCCCCACCAAAATGGGACTTCCTCCCCCAACAGCCATCAACTGCCAAAAGTTCCTTGGCTGGGGGTGGAGCCTTAATAACCCCTCCCACATGGCTGCTGGAATTTTTAACTGGCTTAATAGTGTTTAAGTAAACACAGCTCATGTTCAGAGAACAGCGTTTCACCCCCATCCTCTCCATCCTCCAGCTCTTATATTCTTTCCACCGCTCTCTTCCAAAGAGTTCCCTGAGCCTTGATAGTGAAAGGGATTAATATGAATTTCCCCATCTATGGCTGAGCACTCCCTTCTCAGCACTTTCAATAGTTCTAATTCTTTTCATTAATCACTATCACTACCCAGAGAAGCAATAGGAAGCTTCTCTGGCCAAAGCTGAGATCAGCACAAATCTATGAATATAAATATAAATATTTAGAAGGCCATTTGACAACGTGACCATTTAGCAAACCAGCATCAATGTAGTTCTCCCCTTGGGCCTATGACGTCCCTAATCAGCATTTTTATTTATATTATTAGTCCAGGCAGTACCTGTGGAGTGGCCTCAAATCCAATCAATAGAGCCCTTTTTAAAGTCTTGCCACAATTGCACCATTGGGCACATCTCTCCTGGCATACAAGGTACAGTGCTGGGTAAGATCACTGGTATCTTTTCTCCCCCATCAGCATACATAGCATTTCCAGCACAATGAAATTTAGCCAAGCAGCAGGCATTTCCTGGTCAGTACAAGACAGATTTCTCTATGTACTGTTCCAAAGTGTGTGGTGTCTTCAGCAATAGGGTCTTCTAATCTGGTAGTTATGGAAGGCAACCAACAGCAATAACAACAGCCTGTATTGTTTTGGGCACTTCTGGGGCCTCTCTGACCAACAGCAAGTAGAGAGGTAACCCATGCCCAGGCACTGAAATTTTTCTTTAATAATATTTGTTTTTGTTTAATAACCCATGTCTTCTGGGAGCAGGATTGTTCAATGATGCTTGGTACCTCTATTCAAACTCTCTTTTTAAATTATATTTTAATTAGCTTACAAACTAATGGGGTTTCATAAGGCTTTTTCATATATCCTTAGTTTTGGTTGCCCCACCCCTATGCTTCTTTTCTCCTATTCCTTGCTTCCACTGTCATTTAAATCTTTAGCTCCCAACATTCCAGCCCCTTTGTTCTTTCATATTAGTGTGTCCTGTCTACTCACAGTTTTTACTTGGAGAAAGCTCCTTACTTTCAGAAAGGGATCTTTGTAGCCTGCAATAGTGACATTGATAAAATTGTTTCTATCCATTTATACAATTTTGGTCCCCTCAGTGCCTTCCCAAGCAAGAAAAGTAAAGTTACAGTTTATTATAAAAATAAAGATATTGGAATATTGGGAAAATTAAACCAACAGAATTCTGCCATCTATTACAGCTATTATAATTATTATTTTGCATTCCTTTGCATACACAATTCTGTCACAGATACATACATACATTATGCCCTATTCCATACATTTATTTTATGTGGCTATAGCCATGAAGAGATAAATGGCAAGGGCTCTGGGCTAAAGTGCATCTAATTTGTTTTGGTGAGCCTTTTCATTGAGGCATTCATTTGACTCACTGAACATTTTGTAGAAAAGTTCGATTTGATTTTCTTTCCAAATCCCTGTCTTTCCTCAACTCCGCACCGCCTTCCTTAGATCATTTGTTTGAATTACCTCTGAATTCACTGAGATGTGTATTCATGCTCGTTGGGAGTTTGCTCACAGCTGTGATCATCTCTTTGAGTTCTTTGGAATTTCACCACTTTGTTACAACCCGGATCTTTAAGACTGTAAGTTGTAAAGCTTCAGAGTTGTTAGAACCTTTTTTTGGAAGAGTCTCTCTCACATTTCTTGTTTCTACATTGAGATTTGAACATCTGAGGCAAAAGCATTGGTTGGCTGTTTTAATCTCTTTTATTCTTTTAATGGAAGTATTTCCCAGGGTTTATGTGGAGCCAGACTGTGGCAGGGTTGAGTACAGTTTCTCACAATTAGTTGGGGGTATAGCTCATTAGGGAAACCTGCTCAGATACTCAGATCACCAGGCCTGTCCCTCAGCATCACTCAGAAAAGAAAATTAACTGTGATAGAACATTATTGACAGATGAGTGTTATGGAAATATATTAATAACCAGTTAAATTCTCACCACAACACCAATGAAATTAGAGGGAAAAAAGAACAAAATTAATATTAAATACTCTGAGAAGATACTTGTTAATACAGAGAGCAATGGGACTAGAACTATAGTTAAATAACACTAGAGAATAGCAAGACTAAAGAGAGTAAGCAGAGGGGCAGGACATAAACAGAACGGGGGACGGGGACACAGAAAAGAGAAGATCCTGTTAAAGGCGACTAAAAAAATCAGTAAACAAAACAATGAAAATGAAGAACATAAAATTTAATATTTTATTATTTTTATTTTATGTATATGAGTGTATTGTCTGCATGTATGTAAGTGCAACCATGCCAAGCCACACCTGATGAAGTCAGAAGAGGGGGATGGATTCCCTGGAACTGGAGTTACAGACAGTTGTTAGTCACTGTGTGGGTGCTGGGAACTGAACCCAGGTCTTCTTCAAGAGCAGTCAGTGCTCTTAACCACTGAGCCATCACTCTAGAGCTAAGAAAATAAGATTTAAAGAGGGGAAGAGAAGAAAGAAGAAAGAATAAGATGACATAAATAAAAAGAATAAAAATAGGGAATGGAGAAAAGACAGGAAAGAAGAGAGAATTAAAAATTAAATATCGAAACAGAATTGAAAATAATTGAAAATTAAATAATGACTGTAGGTTACACCTCATCATTCAGTTGTCCAAAGGCACGAAGTCAGAAAGCTAAAGTATGCCAGGACAAAAACAGGAAAGTAAATATTGAAAAGAGGAGAAATGAGCAGATTATACAAAGGACTAAGAGAAAAAATTGTTTAAAAAGAACAAAAGTGCCAGGTACGCTGGGTGTGGTGGTGCAGGTCTTTAGTCCCAACACTTGGGAAGCAGAGGCAGGCAGATCTTGGTGATTTGAGGACAGCCTGGTCTACATAGCAAGTTCCAGGCTAGCTGGGGCTACAGGGAGACCCTGTCTCAAACACACACACACACACACACACACACAAAGAAGAATAAAAGTTTCAATAAACATGTAAACCAATCAGCCTAGAAAAACATGGAAACAAAAAGAAATGATCCAGAGAGATGGTTCAGTGAGTAAAAGCCCTTGTGACACAATCTTGATGACCTCAGTTCAAGCCCCAGAATCCTCAGAGGAAGGAGAAAACGGGCTCTCAAAATTTGTCCTCTGATCTCCATATGCATACTGTGACGTGATGGCACCGCACACACACACACACAAAAAAAAAAAAACAAAATCTGCTTTCATAAAAGGGAATAAAGTAAATAAGCTTCTTGTTTTCAAAAGAGGACATTTCTAATCATCCAAAGAGGCCAGTCGTTTGGCTAGAAGTGGAGCTCTCAACTTGTCTTCTGTCTGTGGCTACTTCATGGATACCATTGTCTGTTGAAAGTCCATCAAAAGCATTTTTTAAAAGTGGAAAAAATCAAGGGCAAAATGAATTTCTCAATGAAAACACAAGTAAGTTTAATTACAATTAAGTGTTTTGGATTATAATTTGGAAATACATGCCATTTTATACATGTTGTATTAATTTTGATGTTTCTCAAGTCTTCATTTTGAGCTGTTAAAATGTTTCGAAGAAAAATAGAAAATACTGGCAAATATCTCCCTAAGTCTTTCATGAGCTGAGCAAAAATATTCAGAAATTGATGTGCTGCTTTATTGTGAACCACAAAGGGCTCAATGGTTTTAGTAGCAGGTAGGAAACAGGGAAGCCTCCAATGAACATTCTGGAAACAATGAAAGGGTTCTCTGAACTCCGTTACAGCCTTTCCTTTTGGTCACCACCTAGATTCTCTGGTATCCAGATGACTGATGGCGGATTTTATAGATGCCCAGGCCCACAACACAGAGGCCAGCCACAACGGCTGCGATCACAGGAAGCACAACCGTGTAGTCGGATAAACACTCGTCCACTAGGAGAGAAAACAAACACGATACAGCAGGTAAGATCTGATGAGGATAGACCAGAAATAGTCTAAAGTAGAACAAATGTGAGCTGTGGGGTCAAACATGTCAGATCTTGGCTTTTACTTTTATTTATTTACATATTTATTTATTTATTTATTTATTTATTTATTTATTTTGTATTGACTGATTGGTTGATTGGATTGCAGTGCTGGGGATCTAACCCAGGGCCTCATGCCTGGTAGGCATGCATTCTACCATTGAACTATATCCCCACTCCTAGGTACATAATTGTTCTAGCTTGTTTATCTATTGCTGTAATAAAACAATCTAACCAAAACCAACTTGTGGACGGAAAGGTTTATTTCATCTCACTCTTCCAAGTGACAGTCCATCACTAAGGGAAACCAAGGCAGGAGAGGTGGAAGTGAACGCTGCAGCAAAGACCATGGAGGACCTCTGCTTGCTCAGCTTGGCTTGCTGTCCTGACCTGTGCACAGCCTGCTTACTTATCCAACCCAGGACCTGCCCAGGGGTTATACCACCGTCAGTGGAGTAGGCCGTTCCACAGCACTCAACAATCAAGAAAGTTCTTCACAGACAGGCCCACAGGCAAATCCAATAGAGAATATTCTCCAATAGACGTTCCCTCTTTCCAGATGTCTCAAGTTGACAGCTAAGGCTCTCCAGAACAATAATCTTGGGCAGGTTATTTATTTTTGCAATTCCACATTCATAAAGAGATAATATATACAATTCTTGAATAATTAAATAAATCAACCTTTTCTAGCAATTAATAGCTAATCATTGTTATTCACATTTTCTGAACTGAAGAGGATATTTCCAGGGATTCTCCCTGGAAAGTGGGATGTGCCTACATAGAAGAGACCATTTGCATAATTAGATTCCAGATGATTCTCTTGAGAACACAGGGTGCTTACTTCATAAGTCATTACTATCACTCCTAAGCTTTTATTGTATAATTTTTAACTAATATCTAATGTGAGAGTCTATAAGCTTGACACAGGTTTACTTCATTCCTCAGAGAGCACCTAATTCAATTACTTTAAAAAGTAGTTAATTGGGGGCCAGAGAGATGGCTCAGTGGTTAAGAGCACTGACTGCTCTTGCAGAGGCCTGGGGTTCAGGTCCCAGCACCAACATAGCAGCTGACAACCATCTGTAACTCCTGTTCCAGGGGATATAATGCCTTCTTTTGACCTCCCAGGCATTGTACAGCATGGGTGCACTTACCTACACGCAGGCAATACACTCATACACATGAAATAAAGTAATAATAAATAAAATAGTTTAAAATGTAGCTAACTGGGTCAGAGACTAACCAGTCTCAACTGGAAAAAGATGAAAGGACTGAGGATAAAGGAGCCATCACAGAATTCTCCGTGAAATGAGGAGTAGGAAGAAAGAGCACATAAATGAGAACAAAATCCACACTTCAGAGTCTATGGCTCTACGCTAAATCTATAGATAGAAAAAAGATGTAGTGTGAAGGCTGTGTGTGAACCAATACAAGAAACTGTGTCCTGAACTGAGGGTCATCATTAACCCATTCCTATGTACCTGGGTCCAAAAATGAAGGATTATGAAAGATCTGAGGGGGGAGAATGGCAATTAGAAATTCCTAAAAAAGAAAATTTATGCAGAAAATAAACAGTATCTGCAATAAACTATTTGATTTGACAGTGGATCAAATCAAATTACAGAATTATAATATCATACATCTTATTAATTTAAGCAAAAGTATTGTTATTACTATAAAACCTTGTCTGGTATAGCAGAAGTCTACAACTGATCAATTAAGAAATTCAATGAGCCAGGAGTGGTGGCACATAACTTTAATCTCAACACTTGAGAGGTAGAGGTAGGCAGATCTCTGTGAGTTCAAGGCCAGCCTGGTCTACATAGTGAAGTCCAAGCCAGTGGGGCTACAGGGAGACCCTGTCTCAAAAAGACCAAAAAGAAAAAAGTACTTTGTCTCTCAGGAATGAATTTTTGCTTCTCATAAGTCCCTCCAGAATATATGAAGATATAGAATGAATTTAGGTGGTGTAAAGACTAAATAACATATGATGCTGTGCGTCAAGAGCATCCATTCCCAGTCCTGTACTGGCAGCTTCCCATACCCTTTTTATAACCAGTTTCCTTTATTACTCCTCACGTACCTCAGCTTACATTGGAATTCACTCCATGACTTAATTTTAATTTCATTTGTTAGAGACTCTATAAACTTAATACAATTATGTTCTCTGGTCTTTGGTGGTTAGGACTTCAATTTATGAAGGGGGAGGGGTGGTGAGGAGGAATTAACCAGTAACAGAAGTTTAGAAATGAACAGTTAATAAAATACAAAAAGAAAAACGGAAACAGAAACAAATCCCTGACAATTGCTTTAAGATGAGAATCTCTTCCCATTGTACCAGAGTTCTGTCAATGAATCCCTTTCAGTCAGATCTCTCTCTCTCCCTCTCTCTCCCTCTCTCACTGCTCTCACCCCTCTCTCTCTCTCCTCTCTCCCTCTCACCACTCTCACCCCTCTCTCTCTCCTCTCTCACCCCTCTCTCTCTCACACCCCTCTCTCTCCTCTCCCTCCCTCTCTCTCACCCCTCTCTCCTCTCTCTCCTCTCTCTCTCCCTCTGTCCCCGCTCTCTCTCTCTCCTCTCTATCCCTCTCTCACCCCTCTCTCTCTCGCCCCTCTCTCCTCTCTCTCCTCTCTCTCTCCCTCTCTTACCGCTCTCACCCCCTCTCCCTCTCCTCTCTCTCTTCTCTCCTTTCCCCTGGGAACTCACTACGGTTGGCAGCTATCCCGTAGCTTTGAATACCTTGTAGCTCACTTCCTTAACCTCCTCTAGACAAGAAGGAAGTGTTCACCTCCTTCCCCCACTTATTATAGGCTTCATAAAGTGGATATGGGGGTGAAGGGGCAGAGCAAGGCAGAGCTAAGTGTATACCTCACTGACCCTCCACTCTCCACTAGAGAAAGTCAGTAAAACTGAGAAAAGAACAAAACTAACATTAATTTACTTGTCATTTAAATGAAACCTCTGCTCTTTACGGTTACTGGAATGTTAACTAAAGTTCATTTAATGGACAGTTTGTGTTAGTATGAATAGATAACAAGTCTAGGCAGTTGCCATCAGCCCAAAGAACTCACTGAAGAGGATGGAAATGAAAAATTAAATTCTATTAAATGCCTTACTGCTTTGTTTTCAATGTTAAATTTTGCTTCTTGTCTCCATCTGCTTTGGGAGAGACTTCAGTGTGCTCCTTCAGGATAGCGAGGGGCATAGTGAACACACATCTCATGCTCTGTACTGCAGAGATTATCAAGTGCCCCTGACACTACACACATGGGAGTCTAGAGCAAATGCCTGTCTGATGGAGGAAAGGTGAACAGACCACAATAATGTTGGAAGTATTGAAAGACTGAGATTTATTGGCCCTCTTTAATTTGTCAAGATCTTTTGATATGTGCTTTACATTACGTGAAATAGTAGCAGTTTTTAAAATTTTATTTACTAATAATATATTTCAACTATATAAAATGCATCTTTTAAAAAATGACAGTAGGCCAGGTGTAGTGGCACATGTCTTTAATTCTAGTACTTGGGAAGCAGAGGCAAGCAGATCGCTAAGAGGTTAAGGCCAGCCTGGTCTACATAGTGAGCTCCAGGCCAGCCAGGGCTACATAGTGAGAAAAAAAACAAAGAAAGAAAGAAAAGAAAAGAATAAAAAGTGACATATGTTTACCCATCTATAATTTAAATAAGTCAGAATTTTTAAAAAAAATTCATCCATTTAAAATTAAAATCTGTTTTAAAATGGATTGGCTTTCCTAAAGTAATAAAGAATGCTGAATGTTGAGACTCAGAAATTTATAGGAAGCACTGGGTACAGTAGCACATGCCTTTAATCCCAGAACTTAACAGGCAGCTGAATGTTTGCGAGATGGAGGCGAGCTTGCTCTACATAGTGAGTTACAGGCCAGCTGAGTCTACAGGGAGACCCTGTCTCAGAAAGACAAAGGAAAACAAAAATTTATAAGAACCAGCACTGTTTAAAAATGTCTCCCGCATGGCTTTTCTTTGGGTCTTTGTTTTCTTCTTGTCACAGCTCCTTGCTCTGCTCCAGCCCACTAATTCTTGAAGCAGTGATGTTTATTCAGGTGTGAAAGATGTCTCTCAAACAGGTTAGGCATAGTCTCTCCCAGCCCACATGAAAAATTCAGGTGGGCTCCCCTCTGGTAGACTCCAGGTGGCATTGGAATGGGGACCAGTTTCCTCATCAGCTTAAGCAACCAGACAGGTCTGTCCTTTCACTTCTAGTTAACTCTGAAGCCAGAATCCTCAAAGCCTCAGAGCATTAACCTTGCACATTTTAAAGAATGGGGCCATTTATTTATTTTTAATATTTTATTTATTATTTTTATTTTATGTGTCTGAGTGTATTGCCTGCATGTAGTGAGTGTTCCGTGTCATGCAATGCCGTGGAGGTCAGAAGAGGGCTTCAGAGTCCCCTGGAACTGGAGTTAAGGATGGTTCATAGACACCATGTGGGTGCTGGGAATCAAACCCGGGTCTTCTGCAAGAGCAGTCAGTGCTCTTAATCTCTGAGCCATCTCTCCAGCCCCAGAATGGGGCCATTTATATGTGCTCATTATCCTCTTCTGGGACTCTTTCTGGTGACCAGGCAAGCTATTAACAATGTCTTGTAAGAATGAAATCATGAAATTTGCAGGTAAATGTTATACTAAGTGAAGTAACAGAAACTTAGAAAAATAAGCAAAGTATATTCTCTCTCATTTGTGGATCTTAGCTCCAAATCCTTAGATACAAGTACATCACCACCAAAAAGAAGCTTCTTTTCGCAACAAATGGGCATTACTACAGGGTTCCATAGCTGGTCAAACACAAAGAATAAGTGCCTGTGAGATGCCCAGCTCTAAGTGACACATCTACAATGCAACCTCTGCACCTAAGGCTCAGTGCACATTGTGAAAGAGGGGGCAGCAGAGAAGCTTCTTCATGCAACAGACAGTGATTAACATGGAAAGCCATGGCTTGCCAAAATGTATAGCATAAGAGACTGCACAGTGTGTGTCCCTGGATAGGACTCCTATAGTAAACCTCTGCCATCCAGAGTTCAGGGACCGTTGCAGAAAAGGTGTTGAAAAGACAGAACCAGGGGCGGTAGGTGGCCACAGGGAAGCAGAGGTTTCCAGGTGTCTGGGAACTTGCTCATGTGAACTTGCAAGCTCAGTCATACAGAGACCCATCTTAGAGGTTGGAAATGACCTTAGCTGAGGGAGAATAGGCAACTTATCACTCACTGCTGGGTGAGGGAGAGTTGGTCTTCTTAAAGGAAATGATGCTGGATACATTGACAAGGCTCCAGTAAATGGACTTACCCTGACAAATATTTGCGGACACGTATTTGACTCAGTGGACAGACTGCATAAAGTCCAGCAGGGGAGGGGGAATACAGGGAGGTGTAGATAGGGGAGGGAGTATGATCAAGATGTATTGTATGAAATGAACCAAAAATCAGTTAAAAACTAAAAAATATTTAAAACAGTGGTTTGTGATACTCAGGCCCATGGACATAGGGATTTCTCTCCTCTTTCTGTCTCTTTAAGCATTTGTCAGCTTTAACTGAACTCAGAGTAATGCTGGGAAGTAATGCTCCTCTGTCTGTCTCAACTTCTGAGGGAAAGGAAGTGAGAAGAGGTGAGCTGGATCCCCTCCCTGTTACATCCATCTGCACATGGGGGAGAACGAGGAAGGGAAGAGTCTGTGTAGATGAGAAATTAAGTTTCTATTGCAGGTCCCCAGGCATCGTGGAGGCCTGAAGATTCTATGCAGGTGGGAGGCAGATCCAGATTCAGGAAGCACTAGTTTGGGGGAAAGGGTCATGATCAAAGCAGTGTGTGACTTGAAAGCCAGACAAGACCTGGAGTCATATTCTTCAATTCCAGAAACCAAGCCACAGAGCCCAACTTTCCTATTCAAACTCTATGCTTCTTAAAGGGACTTCTGAGATAGCTAAGGACTCTGTGGATAGCAAAAATAAAACAAACCAAAACAATAAAAGTAAAACATTCTCACAAGCTTCAAGATTTGGGGAGAAAGGGTTGTATATATGGAGACTAGAGTCTTCAGTTTTGGATGAGTGTTTTCCATGGCTGAGCTTGGACACTTCCTGGATTCAACTCCATTTCTTTTAGTCCATTGAAATATCATCCATATACCAAGACTTCTAATCTATTCCTCATCATGTTTTGTGTTAATCTTGCCTTCCTTGAGTACCATGGCTTTTACATATGTCTTTTAATACTATGTCACGTAATAGCTTGCCCCTTTTAAAATACCATCTCTAGTTTAAAAAACAGCACAAGATTTACAGGATAACATATATCTTTCTACTTGAGCATCGTTAAGGAAACCCAAATTGCAAAACCTAGAAACGTGTACTTGAGCTAAAGCAGTAACCCTGGAATAAACAAGACTAATCATGCGGCAGTGAGAATGGTATAAGGTAGTGAGGGTTTGGTGAGAAGGCAAAATAGGGAGAAGAGTGCAGGGTAATTCCCTTATCGACTTATTGGATTTTATTTTCTTCTCTCTCTCTCTCTCTCTCTCTCTCTCTCTCTCTCTCTCTCTCTCTCTCTCTCT